CCAAATCTGAGAGCAGCAAGAGGCGTGGCTACGAGAGCTGAAAGGCGAGGAAAGAGTACATAGTATAAGAGTGAGGGTCAGCACGGCACTACGTAGCCGTCGCCAGACGCCCCTTGTTGAACGCCGACATGGACGATATTACAAATCTGGGCTCGAGATCCTAAGACTGTGCCTTGTTTGAAGCCCTACAAAAATGATGTTACGATTGACAAAGAGTTTCCAGAAGGAATTGTTTGCTTTCTTATGCTTTTAGGGGTGTTATGAGGTACTTATAAAATGTTTTCAGGAAAAACTGAAAGCCCTCATACCTGTGGTAGCGCTTCACCGACAGTATCCAATAGCGATCGTATTCCTTTTGCCATTTTCAGCAGTTTGAGCACTGAAAAGTTAAGAAACTTGTAATACAATTTTCTCTTGAGAAGTAAGTTTTTCACTAGTTTTTCGAATTCTGCGAAAGCGAAATACTCAGAGTTGTTGAGTGATCTTGAAAACTAGCCTCGCGCGATTCTCAGTACCCTCATAACTCGAATGATGGTCGGATTGATAGGCAGTTCTAGTGCTTCGAACTCTTCAAATATGATGCCGGCCACAGAGAGGAAGACGATGAACATGTCCAGACGATTCCATGTTTCACAGAAAAATCGCCTGATCCCAAGAGCAGCGAGTTTCATGGCCGCTTCCAGTGTGAACACAGCAGTGAAGAAATAGTTCAGAGCTTTCAGTACGTACTTCAGTCCGGGTGGCATCATGTAGAACTCCATTGCCATCGATATTACATTGATGCCTGCAAAGGAATAAGTTAACGGTATCATGTGCGATCAATACTAATTAAGACTGTATTATTACAGGTCAGCCATAGTCTTACCGATGACGGCAGCTATGGCAAGATCGAAGTACTTGGACGTGACGACACCGTTCAAGAACATTCTCGTCGTTCCGTAGTTGTGCCAATAGGGCTGACTTTTCTTCACTAAAAGCACATTTCATAAGATTCACAGATATTTATAAAGTGTGCCGAAATAGGTGTCAATATGTATATAGTGATTCGAATAATACATCAATCCAAAAAGAACAGGAACAAGGTCGAATCTGGTGCAACAGAAGCGGTGATAGGAGCGAATGAGGACACGGTGTGACGAAGTGTCAAGGATAATCCTCCCTCAGTAAAACTCTCCCCTTTTCTACATATCTCAATAGGACTGCCTGCTCTAGTCCTCCTCAACCATCCTTTCCCTACCTTTTTACGTACGGTCATTGCAACTGTACGTAAAAGGGTGTAGGAGGGGCGTGCACTGAAGCGAACTCAGGCGACCACTCCCACCGATATGCCATGCTGAACCCGCAGCAACTGGTGGAAGATGTTGCCCTGGCTCCAATCTACATCCCTTCGCACGCCCTCTCAACAGCAGGGGTAATGACTGTAGTGGCTTTACTTTTGTTACTTCACTCTTCTCATTCTTTATGTTATACAGCCTAACTACAACGGATATACCACTCACTGATGGAGCGAAAATTAGAGCAAAGTGTACTGCAGGAACAGCGGACGCAGCAAGGAGCCATATTTTATTTAGGCGAACTAGAGGAACACCACTAAGCCCGCGGACTGCCCTTGCGGCGTTGACAGTGTACGCGATCAAGAGATCCGGGTTGCAGCAACTTGCGGAAACTGAGTCACGCGCGCTGCGACTAGTGTGTGAAGGCGTCTCAACAAACTACTGGTACTCCTACCTAACTTTAGGTGTTTACAAGTTTCCA